AGAAAATTTAAAATAATGGAAAAACCTGTGGCCAACAGAACTTGATGCATTAGGACATGTTAATTCCTTATTAATTAATCTTACCTGGGAAGTTTGAGATAACTGCCTCCATAGCTGGAATACTTGTTCTCGATACAACTCCAGTTGGCAGTGTAAAATCTGATACACTAAGAAAGGACAAAGGAAAAAATTGAAAACAAAATAACAGCTTAAATATACAATGTAGTCTGCTAATAAAATGCAGGAAATACACACATTCAAGACAAGTTCTTAATCTGAAAACATATGGATGGCTGCCCAAGGACATTTCTAATTTAGTGAACTTAAAAGATTTCTTAGAACTTAGTGGACTACAAGACTGTCAAAAATACATGTAGGCCTACTTCAATCACTGACGAGTATTGATACATCTAAAGTTACTTTTGTTTTTCCTTGCAGTATTATTTTTTTCATGATTGTAAATTGCTATAAAAAAAAAAACACAGCTCAAACATCATGTAAATTTATAGTGTGCATGTCCTATGATGACTCCAGTTGTCGAAACATTAACAGATGGGAGGCTGAGTAACATTTTCAAACCTCAAGTCACAGCAAGCACTGCGTTCTGATACAACTACAACTTCCCTACCCAAGGCGCAATAATATACATACAGGAGATGGAGCTCTTCTCCCCAGCCTGCCCAATGACTAGTTCCCCCAATTGAAGCATTTTTGCCACAAATAACGCTTTTTTTTAAACTATCTCTGAGGCTCCCTTATATCCCTCAGATCAACTAGGCTACTGTGCAACATCGATTAGAAAGATGGAAAGTACCAAATTTGACAATAATATTATATTACACTAATTTACAGTGGGAATATATATATGACTTTTTTTTAATTTAAGTGATACAGTTACACATGTAGTTTTTGTAGACTTGTGAGCAATGCAGTAGATGAGGATACAAAGAAGTACCGTTCATGCAAAGACAAAGACGATCAAGCGTAAGGTTCGAAGTAGAAGAAAGCTGGCCAGGATAGTTGTTGTGAGAGTTGTGTGCCAAACTCTTATTTATAAATACATACATGTTCATACTGTGTAGTCAGATAATCATGGCATCGGAATGTCATGTATACAATAATCACACATCAGCTCCATCGAGGATGATGATGCACAAAAAATAATTTATGTTATTTAAAAAAAATTGAAGAATCAACAATGTACCTCTCGAGTGAATAAGTTTGATACTCTGGAGAGAGCATCGCCTGGCACTGTAGAATGTATTGTCCTCAATTCACGAGGAATAGCATAGGCCTGAAACAACAATTCAACAAGTCAAAATATTTCAGTAGTCTGGTAAACCTGAAATAGTTATTTGCGTATCTGTAGGTAACTTGAGAGCTTTGGTACCAAAATGCTCTCTCAAAATTAAACTGATACCAAATGAAAATTAATTATTTTATATAATATGGACATGTATGGTGATTCATTATGAGTCACTGCAGCTGTAATCTTAATAATATGGTATGAGATCTATGTATCTAAATTAATCATATAATTTCATGATCATAAGCAAGGCATTATTTAAAAACAACACTTACATGGAACCTTACATAGTGGATCTAAATACATACATGTACATCTAGATGGAAAGAATCTTCATTAATTTCTCAGAGGCAGCATTCTTTGGAACAGTAATGTATTGCCTCAGGTCAGAGAACATGAGACTGCAAGATTACACAAGCACTCGCTGTTTTTCCTTATATTACCAATCAAAAGTGGAAAAAATAAAGCCTACAAAAAAACTGACCAGGACTTTTTGTAGCTTGAGAATGTATGATTTATACCTAATTCTAAAAGCCCATCACAACTAAATGCCACTATTATTTTACTTACGGAATCTGCTAATTAGCATATTCTTCAGAATCATGAAGATTCATGAAGTCAAAAATTACTTTCTATGAATGAGAAAATCCAAGTTTGCCTTGCTGTTTATACCTTGCTTAGATTTTTAAAAACTAGTCAAGAATATAATACCAAGTAAAACATGTACATGTATCGAGATTGTCTTGATATAAATTAAGTCTTGATGTTAAAGCCAATGAAAAGAATCAGTAATCATATGCAACACGGTTCAGCAAAGAAGTATAAATATCAGTGGCAAAAATTAGCATAAAATTCGAACTTTATTCACCACATAAAATAATTTGATATGAGGTCTTTAAAAATTTCTTTGTAGAATGTCTGTGGCCCATTTGAAGCACCATGCATGTACAAAACCAAAATTAAAACCTGAAAAATCTATTTTAGGTTTCAATATGTACATATTTCAATTGCTGGGGATGCTTGCTCCACAATAAGAAGTAAATAGTGTGACATACATACTTTGACTAATTGTTTAAACCTAAAATGAAAGTGAAGGGTTGATTTTTGATTTCAGGAAAGGGTGCAACATCCTTGATATTTCGCATTCATTTGGAAAATAAATAGATACAATTTTTGTCCATTTTCTAGACATGTCATTAAAAAAAGTGATTTCAACACCTGGTTGCAGACTAGTGTGTACAAAACTCATTCGCGTTAGTGACCATTAATTTTCTTGTACATCCGAAAAAATTATGAAAGCACGGCTTTGATTACCAAGGTTTCAATCTTCAGTTTCAGTTGGTCGCTCATTACCTATAAATCGGGAATTTTATCAAGTACAGAAAAAATAGAAGTTCTAGATCTTCTGGAGCAAAGCCTGTTAATCTTAACCCACGCTCGAGAGTACAAATATCCATAAAACATGTCACACAATTTCTTGAAAACAACAAAATAACTTATGCCTTCAAATGGAAGCGATTTTTGACTTAAAGGAAAAGTCAAGAAGAGCTTACCACAAAAAATCAAAAATATTTCTTTAAATATTAAGCGAGATGCGATTCAATGTTCAAAACGAAGTTCATTTGTGAAATATTAACCGGCTCGTGTCTGCTCATGACAAGATTTCCTGAATGAAACTCAGTCACAATACAAGTCGGGCATGATTTGAATTGCTTTTATCTTTTGACAATTTAAATGCGCAAATCTAAAAAAACATATTTTAACAGGAAAAATGACTTACTATGACTTGGAAAGAATCATCTGGATCTGAGAATTCCGTCGACATGACAGTAGTTTTTAGGTTGTTTTCAAATGGATGAGACGTTGGATTGACGCACGCATCAGCGCTATCATAAAATTTTAATATCTTACATTTGCCTGATTTGGAAACAAAATACTACTCAGGGAACAAAAACCCAGACCTTACACATAATTAATTCTTAATTTAAGGTCAACAAACTTGATGCTCTTCGATGAGAAAAATATCTCCAAGAGTAGATGAAAAAATAAAGGTAATTCTTTAAATGCCGGAATCGGTCGCCGGTCGCGGAGAAAATATTTGACCAACACGTAAAAGTTCCCAGACAGGCTTAAGCAAAATAAAACAACGGAATCCGCAGAATAAATTTAATCCGGTTTACATTTGCAGCGAGTAGAATTATATAATCTGGCAGGTATTTCGAACACAGAGGGCAGATGTGTGCATTTTAGCCCAGCAATAATCAATCAATGAAATCGATCTTGCTCTTTTGGAAACATTTTGTTTATCCAAGAAGCCTTGAAAGTGCTTTCAAGAATGTGACGCATATTTGGCACAAAGGGTACTTTTAAAAGGGCCACTTTCATTGTTTTGGTGTTTTTAAAAACATCAATTTGCACCTGGTCGGTACAACACGGAAAAAGAGTTGGCCATGGAGGACAGCATTAACTTAGCAAACATTTTTTTGCATTATTATCATAACTAAGCGCGTGAATATTCCTGCGGCTAAAATCAACTCGCGCATGACTATCTTGCGGTTGAACACAACAATATTTAGAAGCCTCCAATCGCTACTGTACTTACGATAACATCGTCCTCTGGAAACACAAGCAAAACCTGCAAAGGGTCCCTCAAAATCTGAGTCCGTTTCTGCACAATTTCGTCTTCGTAACTGATCGGTAGAATTCCAGTGACGACCTCCTATAAAAATATAAAACAAACTCTGCGGTATTATTTTAATAAGAACACTCGCTTCCTTGACAGCACAAAGAATGGAAGTAATTTATCAAAGATCTAAACAATTTGCGCGTAAAACCACCCGATTGTAGACAACACGTCGGCAGTGTCAAGTCATTTCTGTTTCATAATTAAGAGACAACACCAAGATACCAACGGTTTACGACTTTCGTAGGGAAAAAATGCAATTTAGCGAAATAAAATTGAAAAAAACGTATAAACATGTACGTTAAATATCTTCAGAAAATAAATAAGGATCTTTAGCTCTTAAAATCGTTACTTTCTCGCACATAATTAGCCGTTTTGCGCCAATTTAGCAACAGCTTTCAATTTTTTAACAATATTCAGCTTACAGACAAATTACCTTCCACTTGTTTCGTCTGCAAATGGCATTAAAATGTTGGCTTGAGTTTTTGTCTGGAAGATATCCCCTAACACAAAAAGCTCTCTGGAAAGATACACGCTAGGCTAATATCCCACAAGATACTGTTCCCTTGCAGAGCTCGTTAAGATTAACAAATTTGTTAGCGTGACCCAACAGAGATCATCAAAGAAGCGACACACTATTACAAAATCATTAAAACTACTCCCACCTTTAGAGGCCTTAAACTAAACGTGCTTTCACTCGAGGTGAGTGACTTGATGTCCACTGCAGATACCGTAGATTCACGGTCCTTTCTGAGTGCTTTACTTATTTTCCTTTCTGACATAACTCACGGTGTTTTGAAGTGAAAACATTTGCACACGTCTCATCGGGCGGCCATGTTTGATTCATAAAATGTCGTGCCTCGTTTGCGTGTCAACACTTGAACAAAGATCAACTGATAACACCACGCTCCCCTCCCACGTTACAATTGTGACAGGGGTAGAGCAGAACATATGAAATTTGTGTAATGACCCTGAATAATCAAAGTTTGATCAGACATTTCGAGCTGCAACAGTGGCCTTATCTATATTACGAGGCTTCAGAAGGATAAAAAAAAACCGTACAAAAGGTTAATCGGTTCTTTGCGTGCCGAATCGTTCTGTGACATTTCTGTCAATTGAATGTATGACATCACGTTAAATTACTTTACTCTAAATATTTTGAAAATCGAAATATAAAATTACCGGAAAACAGTTTGAGATCCACTAATTTAACTAGATCAAGTCCTTGCCTCACACAAAGAGAACGAGGGATATATCTACAATAAACACACTTGACATGTTATCTGATTTATCAGCCAACAAAAAGCATTCTTGTAATCAGGGCGAGGATATACGTATGGCAAAAGTGAACGTACAAATCAAATCAAAGAAGAGCTTTCAAAAAAGAACAAATTTTGAAGTTGCAATAATTTTGTTCAAACAACAAATAAAAAAACTAACAAACAAACGGACGCAAAGGAAACAGAATATGCTGTACCCTAAATGGAAACTACCTGCATTACGTGGAATTTTACATAAACGGTATCTCGGGCGAGAAATTGACACGAGATCACGGAAGCTGGCCGAGACCATTGCTGGATCGAGTAACATCCGGAAATGATCCGGAAAACTGCGAGACGGGTGGCAAAGATGAATCATTTAGTCACGTCATTGATTGTTTACATTCTGCGATTACGACTAGATAAACAAAACCAAAATCACGCTTCCTCACGGCGAGATAAGAAATGTAAACAAGCTTGATTCTTTAGGATTTTTCATTTGCAGGTTATTGTTCTGATTGTGGTCAAAAAGTGTAATTTAGTGTAATTTCGACTGGCTGGCCTTATGAAAATGGTCTTTGGTAGCTCAGTAGTAACAATGTATACTTCACAGTGCGAGGATAAATCTATTTCGTCCGATCCAGCCACCTCAACCCCCTCCCCCCTCCCTCCTTGAAACGGAGAAAGTAAACCACTGGCGTGAGAATTGAGTCTGGCTTACCTTTAGCGCAGAGTCTACACCATCTTGAATATTTTCCACGAGGTAAACCTGTTAAAAAAGAGCATTACACTAATAAATCGTGAATCGTAGTGTTGCAAAAAAAGGGAAGGAAAATTACGATGAACCAAGAGTAAATACGACTAAGTACATTTCAATTTCTCCGTTATAATAAAGAGAACTTAAGTAATCATTTCTAACTAATCTATAGTTTTGACGACAAACTATGGGAAGGGAAGGGGGGCATCCATTTCTAAATTTCTAAGGACCGAAAAACACTCCGACAGATTTAACATTTGTTTTTCCTGGTGACATAAACACTCTCAGTCAACAACCGAACTTTGTTTATTGTTGTTGTTGTTGTTGTTGTTGTTGTTGCTGTTGTTGTTGTTGTTGTTGTTGTTTTGTTTTGTGTTTTTTGTCGCCGGAATGGAAATCGAAACTACCCCAATTACTCAGCCAATCTAATAAAACAGTGCCGACGTTCATCCAAGCAGAACACATCCTAAGACGACTAGAAGGGTCCAAAACTGAAAGATTAAAACCAATCACAATGCTTTATTGTAGGCCAAGTGCTCAATCGGGTAAAGCTACATTGTAATTTCTTGAGTTAAGAGGTGACAAACAAACCCTGCAAATTAAGAACCAATTAATGAGCTTTTCTACTTTATCTGCCCTTGTCTGTGTAACAGCTTGTCAAGGTTGCCCGCAGAGATCGGCGTAACGAAGAAAAATCGTCCTTCGGCCTTTTCAGCACGGAACTCAATGTAATTGTGCAATATATAATGAGGTGGCCTGTCATTTACTCGGTCTAGGATTTCTATACCGACCTGCGTTTTAAAAGTGGAATGAAAGTTCCACGACTGTTCGTCAATTTTCAGGATTTCACGAGGCCTACAAAACCTCCATTACATGTAAAGATTTCTAAGTTTTCAAAACTCGGATGAGTTACAAGCATTTGATCTACCGGACATCAAAATAAATTTTAAGTTTTTCAATACAGTTGGATCAGTTCCACAATTCTACCCATCATATTACAACACTCATTATCGAAACCCTGTCCCGTTTTATTATCAAAAAACCAAGTAATCCATTTTGAGCTTCATCGATAATTTGAAGACAAAATATTTGTACCACGTGACTTCAAAAGTGCACAGCCGACATGACATATTAGAGAAGTTTGATATTTGCGTTTCTAGAGAAGACTGACAATTCTGTCTTGTCTTTTCATTCTCCTAGACTCTTGACGGCTCCTCTGAAACGATGGAAGAGTCTGTTATAAAAAGAGTGTCTCGAGAGTTTCTAAGGCTGCTAATACAATTGTCACTGAACACGATAAAGTTCGTGGTCACGAAACGTCACGAGAAGTATCCCATACCAGAGGGAAACGAAAACATAACTGATAAAAAGGTTTACGAAGCAATACATATTCATTTGTTTTACGGGAAGGCAAAATAAATAAACAAATACATGTAGCAAACGGCAAAACAAGAAAGTCGTTAGTACGTATGAATTAGCAATACAGTCATGGAAGGATGCTTTCATGTCTAATGCAGAGATTGAAGGTCAAACTAAACTATAAAATTCTTAAGTCATTAGAGATATAAGACCCAATAAAAGGTATCTTTCCAATCAAGAGATAAACTAGACACGGCAATAAGCGATGACAACTTTGCGATGCAACGATTAATAAGCAAAACTTTCGACTTCTGAATTTTGCTTTAATTTGTACTCAAAGTTAACGGATGTTTGTGTTAACTATTCATTAAAGGAACTGATAACATCATAACCCACGTCAAATGACCCTTTCCGTTTAAAAGAAAGTGTTGCTCTGGCCTAGAACAACACAATTACAAACCTTTAACCACGAAGCATTAGCGAGCAGTCGGAACTAATTATTCAACCTTATTACTGTGCAAGAATAAAACTTTATTCGATAAGTGTCAACAAACAATGTAGCGATATCGTAAGCCGTGTCGTTATATTACATTTATGGAGCCGAAACAATGGTTAACAAGCTGCAAATGAACTGTTTCAGGGGTGCAAAGTGACTCTTTTTAAGTATTAATTAAATCGAAGTTGGGGGTTCCCAATTTTCGGGGACCACCAATTGCAATTCTGAGCGGGGTGCTTACAAAAGTCACGCAATTCAGTGAATTTTTCTATCACTTAGAAGACTGAACTCGTTTGAAGGAAAATTGCGGAAAAACTTGCTCTAAAAAAAGAAGGGAACGTGAGGAAAACCTGCTAGAAATACTTTATACAACTCGAAAAAAAAGTTACAAAATTTTAGCAATACTGACCGTTTCTTGTGTGTCATTGTCTCTACACTTTGATTTTGTCCTCCTGGCAAGTAGCTTTGGGCTACTGGACGTTACTTTTGCCACGAAGTCAGAATTGGCGAACTTGGAGAGAAGCTCGAAAGCCTTCTCGCCGGTGAATGGCGACCGAGGTCGAGAAATCTTCCGCTTTGATTTCAATGTGGCGACTTCGATCGGAGCGGGCTCGTCGCGACGATTTACCGGTATAAACTGAGTCGGGGATGGCGGCGAAATTCGGCCACTGTCGTCTACAGAACTTTGCGAATGGCCTCGAGGTTTCTGAGGGACAAGCTTGAAGATCGAAGTATCGGAAAACGAGCGTGCTTTTGTGCCTAAACCTGGGCAAGGAACAGCCAAAAGAGCCGTTTCATGACAGCTGACACTCTCGCATTCCTCCATAGCTGGCAGCGAATTGTACTACGGCCTCCTAGCGCGAGGAGAGAGTCATCGCATAAAATACATGCAAAAACGTGAATGTTTATCTACCGTTTCATAGAGATAAGGCTTTCAAAGCTATGATTTATGACAACACTTCAAAGTTTGTCAATAGATATCAAAGGCCAGGGATTGAATATCGCCGCGACCAATACTGATGAACAATGCGAACAACAAACAGCAAACTAATCCAAAACAATAGTCGATCCGACTTCCTCTTCTTTTCAGAATGTTGCTTCTCTGCTTATCTAATCATCCATGACCGCAGGTTGCCGTCTATTTNTAAATCGGGAATTTTATCAAGTACAGAAAAAATAGAAGTTCTAGATCTTCTGGAGCAAAGCCTGTTAATCTTAACCCACGCTCGAGAGTACAAATATCCATAAAACATGTCACACAATTTCTTGAAAACAACAAAATAACTTATGCCTTCAAATGGAAGCGATTTTTGACTTAAAGGAAAAGTCAAGAAGAGCTTACCACAAAAAATCAAAAATATTTCTTTAAATATTAAGCGAGATGCGATTCAATGTTCAAAACGAAGTTCATTTGTGAAATATTAACCGGCTCGTGTCTGCTCATGACAAGATTTCCTGAATGAAACTCAGTCACAATACAAGTCGGGCATGATTTGAATTGCTTTTATCTTTTGACAATTTAAATGCGCAAATCTAAAAAAACATATTTTAACAGGAAAAATGACTTACTATGACTTGGAAAGAATCATCTGGATCTGAGAATTCCGTCGACATGACAGTAGTTTTTAGGTTGTTTTCAAATGGATGAGACGTTGGATTGACGCACGCATCAGCGCTATCATAAAATTTTAATATCTTACATTTGCCTGATTTGGAAACAAAATACTACTCAGGGAACAAAAACCCAGACCTTACACATAATTAATTCTTAATTTAAGGTCAACAAACTTGATGCTCTTCGATGAGAAAAATATCTCCAAGAGTAGATGAAAAAATAAAGGTAATTCTTTAAATGCCGGAATCGGTCGCCGGTCGCGGAGAAAATATTTGACCAACACGTAAAAGTTCCCAGACAGGCTTAAGCAAAATAAAACAACGGAATCCGCAGAATAAATTTAATCCGGTTTACATTTGCAGCGAGTAGAATTATATAATCTGGCAGGTATTTCGAACACAGAGGGCAGATGTGTGCATTTTAGCCCAGCAATAATCAATCAATGAAATCGATCTTGCTCTTTTGGAAACATTTTGTTTATCCAAGAAGCCTTGAAAGTGCTTTCAAGAATGTGACGCATATTTGGCACAAAGGGTACTTTTAAAAGGGCCACTTTCATTGTTTTGGTGTTTTTAAAAACATCAATTTGCACCTGGTCGGTACAACACGGAAAAAGAGTTGGCCATGGAGGACAGCATTAACTTGGCAAACATTTTTTTGCATTATTATCATAACTAAGCGCGTGAATATTCCTGCGGCTAAAATCAACTCGCGCATGACTATCTTGCGGTTGAACACAACAATATTTAGAAGCCTCCAATCGCTACTGTACTTACGATAACATCGTCCTCTGGAAACACAAGCAAAACCTGCAAAGGGTCCCTCAAAATCTGAGTCCGTTTCTGCACAATTTCGTCTTCGTAACTGATCGGTAGAATTCCAGTGACGACCTCCTATAAAAATATAAAACAAACTCTGCGGTATTATTTTAATAAGAACACTCGCTTCCTTGACAGCACAAAGAATGGAAGTAATTTATCAAAGATCTAAACAATTTGCGCGTAAAACCACCCGATTGTAGACAACACGTCGGCAGTGTCAAGTCATTTCTGTTTCATAATTAAGAGACAACACCAAGATACCAACGGTTTACGACTTTCGTAGGGAAAAAATGCAATTTAGCGAAATAAAATTGAAAAAAACGTATAAACATGTACGTTAAATATCTTCAGAAAATAAATAAGGATCTTTAGCTCTTAAAATCGTTACTTTCTCGCACATAATTAGCCGTTTTGCGCCAATTTAGCAACAGCTTTCAATTTTTTAACAATATTCAGCTTACAGACAAATTACCTTCCACTTGTTTCGTCTGCAAATGGCATTAAAATGTTGGCTTGAGTTTTTGTCTGGAAGATATCCCCTAACACAAAAAGCTCTCTGGAAAGATACACGCTAGGCTAATATCCCACAAGATACTGTTCCCTTGCAGAGCTCGTTAAGATTAACAAATTTGTTAGCGTGACCCAACAGAGATCATCAAAGAAGCGACACACTATTACAAAATCATTAAAACTACTCCCACCTTTAGAGGCCTTAAACTAAACGTGCTTTCACTCGAGGTGAGTGACTTGATGTCCACTGCAGATACCGTAGATTCACGGTCCTTTCTGAGTGCTTTACTTATTTTCCTTTCTGACATAACTCACGGTGTTTTGAAGTGAAAACATTTGCACACGTCTCATCGGGCGGCCATGTTTGATTCATAAAATGTCGTGCCTCGTTTGCGTGTCAACACTTGAACAAAGATCAACTGATAACACCACGCTCCCCTCCCACGTTACAATTGTGACAGGGGTAGAGCAGAACATATGAAATTTGTGTAATGACCCTGAATAATCAAAGTTTGATCAGACATTTCGAGCTGCAACAGTGGCCTTATCTATATTACGAGGCTTCAGAAGGATAAAAAAAAACCGTACAAAAGGTTAATCGGTTCTTTGCGTGCCGAATCGTTCTGTGACATTTCTGTCAATTGAATGTATGACATCACGTTAAATTACTTTACTCTAAATATTTTGAAAATCGAAATATAAAATTACCGGAAAACAGTTTGAGATCCACTAATTTAACTAGATCAAGTCCTTGCCTCACACAAAGAGAACGAGGGATATATCTACAATAAACACACTTGACATGTTATCTGATTTATCAGCCAACAAAAAGCATTCTTGTAATCAGGGCGAGGATATACGTATGGCAAAAGTGAACGTACAAATCAAATCAAAGAAGAGCTTTCAAAAAAGAACAAATTTTGAAGTTGCAATAATTTTGTTCAAACAACAAATAAAAAAACTAACAAACAAACGGACGCAAAGGAAACAGAATATGCTGTACCCTAAATGGAAACTACCTGCATTACGTGGAATTTTACATAAACGGTATCTCGGGCGAGAAATTGACACGAGATCACGGAAGCTGGCCGAGACCATTGCTGGATCGAGTAACATCCGGAAATGATCCGGAAAACTGCGAGACGGGTGGCAAAGATGAATCATTTAGTCACGTCATTGATTGTTTACATTCTGCGATTACGACTAGATAAACAAAACCAAAATCACGCTTCCTCACGGCGAGATAAGAAATGTAAACAAGCTTGATTCTTTAGGATTTTTCATTTGCAGGTTATTGTTCTGATTGTGGTCAAAAAGTGTAATTTAGTGTAATTTCGACTGGCTGGCCTTATGAAAATGGTCTTTGGTAGCTCAGTAGTAACAATGTATACTTCACAGTGCGAGGATAAATCTATTTCGTCCGATCCAGCCACCTCAACCCCCTCCCCCCTCCCTCCTTGAAACGGAGAAAGTAAACCACTGGCGTGAGAATTGAGTCTGGCTTACCTTTAGCGCAGAGTCTACACCATCTTGAATATTTTCCACGAGGTAAACCTGTTAAAAAAGAGCATTACACTAATAAATCGTGAATCGTAGTGTTGCAAAAAAAGGGAAGGAAAATTACGATGAACCAAGAGTAAATACGACTAAGTACATTTCAATTTCTCCGTTATAATAAAGAGAACTTAAGTAATCATTTCTAACTAATCTATAGTTTTGACGACAAACTATGGGAAGGGAAGGGGGGCATCCATTTCTAAATTTCTAAGGACCGAAAAACACTCCGACAGATTTAACATTTGTTTTTCCTGGTGACATAAACACTCTCAGTCAACAACCGAACTTTGTTTATTGTTGTTGTTGTTGTTGTTGTTGTTGTTGCTGTTGTTGTTGTTGTTGTTGTTGTTTTGTTTTGTGTTTTTTGTCGCCGGAATGGAAATCGAAACTACCCCAATTACTCAGCCAATCTAATAAAACAGTGCCGACGTTCATCCAAGCAGAACACATCCTAAGACGACTAGAAGGGTCCAAAACTGAAAGATTAAAACCAATCACAATGCTTTATTGTAGGCCAAGTGCTCAATCGGGTAAAGCTACATTGTAATTTCTTGAGTTAAGAGGTGACAAACAAACCCTGCAAATTAAGAACCAATTAATGAGCTTTTCTACTTTATCTGCCCTTGTCTGTGTAACAGCTTGTCAAGGTTGCCCGCAGAGATCGGCGTAACGAAGAAAAATCGTCCTTCGGCCTTTTCAGCACGGAACTCAATGTAATTGTGCAATATATAATGAGGTGGCCTGTCATTTACTCGGTCTAGGATTTCTATACCGACCTGCGTTTTAAAAGTGGAATGAAAGTTCCACGACTGTTCGTCAATTTTCAGGATTTCACGAGGCCTACAAAACCTCCATTACATGTAAAGATTTCTAAGTTTTCAAAACTCGGATGAGTTACAAGCATTTGATCTACCGGACATCAAAATAAATTTTAAGTTTTTCAATACAGTTGGATCAGTTCCACAATTCTACCCATCATATTACAACACTCATTATCGAAACCCTGTCCCGTTTTATTATCAAAAAACCAAGTAATCCATTTTGAGCTTCATCGATAATTTGAAGACAAAATATTTGTACCACGTGACTTCAAAAGTGCACAGCCGACATGACATATTAGAGAAGTTTGATATTTGCGTTTCTAGAGAAGACTGACAATTCTGTCTTGTCTTTTCATTCTCCTAGACTCTTGACGGCTCCTCTGAAACGATGGAAGAGTCTGTTATAAAAAGAGTGTCTCGAGAGTTTCTAAGGCTGCTAATACAATTGTCACTGAACACGATAAAGTTCGTGGTCACGAAACGTCACGAGAAGTATCCCATACCAGAGGGAAACGAAAACATAACTGATAAAAAGGTTTACGAAGCAATACATATTCATTTGTTTTACGGGAAGGCAAAATAAATAAACAAATACATGTAGCAAACGGCAAAACAAGAAAGTCGTTAGTACGTATGAATTAGCAATACAGTCATGGAAGGATGCTTTCATGTCTAATGCAGAGATTGAAGGTCAAACTAAACTATAAAATTCTTAAGTCATTAGAGATATAAGACCCAATAAAAGGTATCTTTCCAATCAAGAGATAAACTAGACACGGCAATAAGCGATGACAACTTTGCGATGCAACGATTAATAAGCAAAACTTTCGACTTCTGAATTTTGCTTTAATTTGTACTCAAAGTTAACGGATGTTTGTGTTAACTATTCATTAAAGGAACTGATAACATCATAACCCACGTCAAATGACCCTTTCCGTTTAAAAGAAAGTGTTGCTCTGGCCTAGAACAACACAATTACAAACCTTTAACCACGAAGCATTAGCGAGCAGTCGGAACTAATTATTCAACCTTATTACTGTGCAAGAATAAAACTTTATTCGATAAGTGTCAACAAACAATGTAGCGATATCGTAAGCCGTGTCGTTATATTACATTTATGGAGCCGAAACAATGGTTAACAAGCTGCAAATGAACTGTTTCAGGGGTGCAAAGTGACTCTTTTTAAGTATTAATTAAATCGAAGTTGGGGGTTCCCAATTTTCGGGGACCACCAATTGCAATTCTGAGCGGGGTGCTTACAAAAGTCACGCAATTCAGTGAATTTTTCTATCACTTAGAAGACTGAACTCGTTTGAAGGAAAATTGCGGAAAAACTTGCTCTAAAAAAAGAAGGGAACGTGAGGAAAACCTGCTAGAAATACTTTATACAACTCGAAAAAAAAGTTACAAAATTTTAGCAATACTGACCGTTTCTTGTGTGTCATTGTCTCTACACTTTGATTTTGTCCTCCTGGCAAGTAGCTTTGGGCTACTGGACGTTACTTTTGCCACGAAGTCAGAATTGGCGAACTTGGAGAGAAGCTCGAAAGCCTTCTCGCCGGTGAATGGCGACCGAGGTCGAGAAATCTTCCGCTTTGATTTCAATGTGGCGACTTCGATCGGAGCGGGCTCGTCGCGACGATTTACCGGTATAAACTGAGTCGGGGATGGCGGCGAAATTCGGCCACTGTCGTCTACAGAACTTTGCGAATGGCCTCGAGGTTTCTGAGGGACAAGCTTGAAGATCGAAGTATCGGAAAACGAGCGTGCTTTTGTGCCTAAACCTGGGCAAGGAACAGCCAAAAGAGCCGTTTCATGACAGCTGACACTCTCGCATTCCTCCATAGCTGGCAGCGAATTGTACTACGGCCTCCTAGCGCGAGGAGAGAGTCATCGCATAAAATACATGCAAAAACGTGAATGTTTATCTACCGTTTCATAGAGATAAGGCTTTCAAAGCTATGATTTATGACAACACTTCAAAGTTTGTCAATAGATATCAAAGGCCAGGGATTGAATATCGCCGCGACCAATACTGATGAACAATGCGAACAACAAACAGCAAACTAATCCAAAACAATAGTCGATCCGACTTCCTCTTCTTTTCAGAATGTTGCTTCTCTGCTTATCTAATCATCCATGACCGCAGGTTGCCGTCTATTTCCCCAAAGAAAATGGCAACATTATAAAAAGCTTCACCGATGAATAAACAAACTTGACGATGTTGTGGTAGGAAGCCTCCGTAAAAAAGACCACCCAGTATTTTGTATCCGTTTGTCGTCGAATAACCAAAGTATCTAAACAATGATTTGCCATTGTAACGAAGAATAAAAATATCACTTTTGCGCAAGAAATATTGTTTAGACAAATTCATTCAATTTTGCACAAAACAAATTAAAATTTAAAAGCACCGAGGCTCGCGAAGGAGAAGCTTCTGTTTTGTACACCTCAAATGCGGATAATATGTCTCCTGTCAAAACTTTTTTTCCTGTTATAACTTATCGAAGCAAAATAGAAGTTTGCGGATGTTTTTAATTTACCAAAGATAGTTAGCAAGAACGTGAAAACAAGACATTCAGTGTCACTTTTTCGCAGAGTGGCTCGCTAATAAAACGCACTTAGACTGTCTGGCGTCATATATTGTCCTTTGATTTGACAGTTAATTTAGAAATGCAGATTTACTTTTAAGTATATGTAAAATATCGTACAGGGAGTTTTTTGTAGCCACCCAAAATTGTCACTGATGCTATTATGAAGAAAAATAATAACAAAATAAACCTCTAAGACGTGACTCGCTTCGTAAAATTGCGCATCCGCTGACCACAAGGAAAATCCCCGACGTCAGATCTCCGATGCTTGCACTCGTTCAGGCAACGAAGCAGGCAACGAAGTACTATACAGGTCATAAGTAAATAGCCGTGGCTGCTCTCTATGTCAGAAGGCTAGAGTCTTGATATGATTTCAAAAGTCACCGGTCGTTAGTCACAGAGACGACGAGAATTGGCAAACAACGTGCGTAGTGTGCTGAAGCTAACGCTGTATCTAAACTAACAAATTTTTGTTTTGTTTGTTTGCAAGTTTGCTTTTTTAAGCAAAAAAAATCAAAATAAACCTGAGAGCAAGATTGAATCTTAGAAACTGTATTGTAATCCAATACTAATCTTTTGAGAATATCGTTGTCGTGTCAAAGCTGCTTGTTCGCACATTCTTGAAGTCTAACGGGACCTCAAAATAATGACTTGAAAACATGGGAAACCGAAAAAGAAAAACTCTACTGAATTAAAGATGCCAAGGAGTATGAGTAATCCAACTGTATACTAGCACTAGGAATGTCCCTGCCAGGCATAAATCAATTCTCACATGGTCATGTTTTTCAATTTGTATGATATCGAGCCGACCACGGACCCACTGACTCACTGACTATACTATACTATACTATACTATACTATACTATACTATACTATACTATACTATACTATACTATACTATACTATACTATACTATACTNAAGGAAACAGAATATGCTGTACCCTAAATGGAAACTACCTGCATTACGTGGAATTTTACATAAACGGTATCTCGGGCGAGAAATTGACACGAGATCACGGAAGCTGGCCGAGACCATTGCTGGATCGAGTAACATCCGGAAATGATCCGGAAAACTGCGAGACGGGTGGCAAAGATGAATCATTTAGTCACGTCATTGATTGTTTACATTCTGCGATTACGACTAGATAAACAAAACCAAAATCACGCTTCCTCACGGCGAGATAAGAAATGTAAACAAGCTTGATTCTTTAGGATTTTTCATTTGCAGGTTATTGTTCTGATTGTGGTCAAAAAGTGTAATTTAGTGTAATTTCGACTGGCTGGCCTTATGAAAATGGTCTTTGGTAGCTCAGTAGTAACAATGTATACTTCACAGTGCGAGGATAAATCTATTTCGTCCGATCCAGCCACCTCAACCCCCTCCCCCCTCCCTCCTTGAAACGGAGAAAGTAAACCACTGGCGTGAGAATTGAGTCTGGCTTACCTTTAGCGCAGAGTCTACACCATCTTGAATATTTTCCACGAGGTAAACCTGTTAAAAAAGAGCATTACACTAATAAATCGTGAATCGTAGTGTTGCAAAAAAAGGGAAGGAAAATTACGATGAACCAAGAGTAAATACGACTAAGTACATTTCAATTTCTCCGTTATAATAAAGAGAACTTAAGTAATCATTTCTAACTAATCTATAGTTTTGACGACAAACTATGGGAAGGGAAGGGGGGCATCCATTTCTAAATTTCTAAGGACCGAAAAACACTCCGACAGATTTAACATTTGTTTTTCCTGGTGACATAAACACTCTCAGTCAACAACCGAACTTTGTTTATTGTTGTTGTTGTTGTTGTTGTTGTTGTTGCTGTTGTTGTTGTTGTTGTTGTTGTTTTGTTTTGTGTTTTTTGTCGCCGGAATGGAAATCGAAACTACCCCAATTACTCAGCCAATCTAATAAAACAGTGCCGACGTTCATCCAAGCAGAACACATCCTAAGACGACTAGAAGGGTCCAAAACTGAAAGATTAAAACCAATCACAATGCTTTATTGTAGGCCAAGTGCTCAATCGGGTAAAGCTACATTGTAATTTCTTGAGTTAAGAGGTGACAAACAAACCCTGCAAATTAAGAACCAATTAATGAGCTTTTCTACTTTATCTGCCCTTGTCTGTGTAACAGCTTGTCAAGGTTGCCCGCAGAGATCGGCGTAACGAAGAAAAATCGTCCTTCGGCCTTTTCAGCACGGAACTCAATGTAATTGTGCAATATATAATGAGGTGGCCTGTCATTTACTCGGTCTAGGATTTCTATACCGACCTGCGTTTTAAAAGTGGAATGAAAGTTCCACGACTGTTCGTCAATTTTCAGGATTTCACGAGGCCTACAAAACCTCCATTACATGTAAAGATTTCTAAGTTTTCAAAACTCGGATGAGTTACAAGCATTTGATCTACCGGACATCAAAATAAATTTTAAGTTTTTCAATACAGTTGGATCAGTTCCACAATTCTACCCATCATATTACAACACTCATTATCGAAACCCTGTCCCGTTTTATTATCAAAAAACCAAGTAATCCATTTTGAGCTTCATCGATAATTTGAAGACAAAATATTTGTACCACGTGACTTCAAAAGTGCACAGCCGACATGACATATTAGAGAAGTTTGATATTTGCGTTTCTAGAGAAGACTGACAATTCTGTCTTGTCTTTTCATTCTCCTAGACTCTTGACGGCTCCTCTGAAACGATGGAAGAGTCTGTTATAAAAAGAGTGTCTCGAGAGTTTCTAAGGCTGCTAATACAATTGTCACTGAACACGATAAAGTTCGTGGTCACGAAACGTCACGAGAAGTATCCCATACCAGAGGGAAACGAAAACATAACTGATAAAAAGGTTTACGAAGCAATACATATTCATTTGTTTTACGGGAAGGCAAAATAAATAAACAAATACATGTAGCAAACGGCAAAACAAGAAAGTCGTTAGTACGTATGAATTAGCAATACAGTCATGGAAGGATGCTTTCATGTCTAATGCAGAGATTGAAGGTCAAACTAAACTATAAAATTCTTAAGTCATTAGAGATATAAGACCCAATAAAAGGTATCTTTCCAATCAAGAGATAAACTAGACACGGCAATAAGCGATGACAACTTTGCGATGCAACGATTAATAAGCAAAACTTTCGACTTCTGAATTTTGCTTTAATTTGTACTCAAAGTTAACGGATGTTTGTGTTAACTATTCATTAAAGGAACTGATAACATCATAACCCACGTCAAATGACCCTTTCCGTTTAAAAGAAAGTGTTGCTCTGGCCTAGAACAACACAATTACAAACCTTTAACCACGAAGCATTAGCGAGCAGTCGGAACTAATTATTCAACCTTATTACTGTGCAAGAATAAAACTTTATTCGATAAGTGTCAACAAACAATGTAGCGATATCGTAAGCCGTGTCGTTATATTACATTTATGGAGCCGAAACAATGGTTAACAAGCTGCAAATGAACTGTTTCAGGGGTGCAAAGTGACTCTTTTTAAGTATTAATTAAATCGAAGTTGGGGGTTCCCAATTTTCGGGGACCACCAATTGCAATTCTGAGCGGGGTGCTTACAAAAGTCACGCAATTCAGTGAATTTTTCTATCACTTAGAAGACTGAACTCGTTTGAAGGAAAATTGCGGAAAAACTTGCTCTAAAAAAAGAAGGGAACGTGAGGAAAACCTGCTAGAAATACTTTATACAACTCGAAAAAAAAGTTACAAAATTTTAGCAATACTGACCGTTTCTTGTGTGTCATTGTCTCTACACTTTGATTTTGTCCTCCTGGCAAGTAGCTTTGGGCTACTGGACGTTACTTTTGCCACGAAGTCAGAATTGGCGAACTTGGAGAGAAGCTCGAAAGCCTTCTCGCCGGTGAATGGCGACCGAGGTCGAGAAATCTTCCGCTTTGATTTCAATGTGGCGACTTCGATCGGAGCGGGCTCGTCGCGACGATTTACCGGTATAAACTGAGTCGGGGATGGCGGCGAAATTCGGCCACTGTCGTCTACAGAACTTTGCGAATGGCCTCGAGGTTTCTGAGGGACAAGCTTGAAGATCGAAGTATCGGAAAACGAGCGTGCTTTTGTGCCTAAACCTGGGCAAGGAACAGCCAAAAGAGCCGTTTCATGACAGCTGACACTCTCGCATTCCTCCATAGCTGGCAGCGAATTGTACTACGGCCTCCTAGCGCGAGGAGAGAGTCATCGCATAAAATACATGCAAAAACGTGAATGTTTATCTACCGTTTCATAGAGATAAGGCTTTCAAAGCTATGATTTATGACAACACTTCAAAGTTTGTCAATAGATATCAAAGGCCAGGGATTGAATATCGCCGCGACCAATACTGATGAACAATGCGAACAACAAACAGCAAACTAATCCAAAACAATAGTCGATCCGACTTCCTCTTCTTTTCAGAATGTTGCTTCTCTGCTTATCTAATCATCCATGACCGCAGGTTGCCGTCTATTTCCCCAAAGAAAATGGCAACATTATAAAAAGCTTCACCGATGAATAAACAAACTTGACGATGTTGTGGTAGGAAGCCTCCGTAAAAAAGACCACCCAGTATTTTGTATCCGTTTGTCGTCGAATAACCAAAGTATCTAAACAATGATTTGCCATTGTAACGAAGAATAAAAATATCACTTTTGCGCAAGAAATATTGTTTAGACAAATTCATTCAATTTTGCACAAAACAAATTAAAATTTAAAAGCACCGAGGCTCGCGAAGGAGAAGCTTCTGTTTTGTACACCTCAAATGCGGATAATATGTCTCCTGTCAAAACTTTTTTTCCTGTTATAACTTATCGAAGCAAAATAGAAGTTTGCGGATGTTTTTAATTTACCAAAGATAGTTAGCAAGAACGTGAAAACAAGACATTCAGTGTCACTTTTTCGCAGAGTGGCTCGCTAATAAAACGCACTTAGACTGTCTGGCGTCATATATTGTCCTTTGATTTGACAGTTAATTTAGAAATGCAGATTTACTTTTAAGTATATGTAAAATATCGTACAGGGAGTTTTTTGTAGCCACCCAAAATTGTCACTGATGCTATTATGAAGAAAAATAATAACAAAATAAACCTCTAAGACGTGACTCGCTTCGTAAAATTGCGCATCCGCTGACCACAAGGAAAATCCCCGACGTCAGATCTCCGATGCTTGCACTCGTTCAGGCAACGAAGCAGGCAACGAAGTACTATACAGGTCATAAGTAAATAGCCGTGGCTGCTCTCTATGTCAGAAGGCTAGAGTCTTGATATGATTTCAAAAGTCACCGGTCGTTAGTCACAGAGACGACGAGAATTGGCAAACAACGTGCGTAGTGTGCTGAAGCTAACGCTGTATCTAAACTAACAAATTTTTGTTTTGTTTGTTTGCAAGTTTGCTTTTTTAAGCAAAAAAAATCAAAATAAACCTGAGAGCAAGATTGAATCTTAGAAACTGTATTGTAATCCAATACTAATCTTTTGAGAATATCGTTGTCGTGTCAAAGCTGCTTGTTCGCACATTCTTGAAGTCTAACGGGACCTCAAAATAATGACTTGAAAACATGGGAAACCGAAAAAGAAAAACTCTACTGAATTAAAGATGCCAAGGAGTATGAGTAATCCAACTGTATACTAGCACTAGGAATGTCCCTGCCAGGCATAAATCAATTCTCACATGGTCATGTTTTTCAATTTGTATGATATCGAGCCGACCACGGACCCACTGACTCACTGACTATACTATACTATACTATACTATACTATACTATACTATACTATACTATACTATACTATACTATACTATACTATACTATACTATACTATACTATACTATACTATACTATACTATACTGTACTATACTATACTGACTCACTGACTCACTGACTCACTGACTCACTGACACACTGACTCACTGACCCACTGATCGACCGACTGACTGATTTGTATCATTGAAGATCATGCCAACACAGAACTATGAACATTTTCTTACCGGGGTTCTTGCAGAGTCTGGCGTCTTTTGTTGTTTCTGCATTTTCTTTTTCTCTGACTTTAGCGTATCTTGAAGTTTTTCCGCAGCAAGACTTTCAGGATCCAACTTCGAGAAGAAAGAGAATCAAAAAAAAAAATAGCTAGCATTATTATTCGACTACTTATTCAACATCTATTTAGCGCCTTCAGTCGCAAATCGACTAATCAAACATTCGCTTGTCTTCGAAAACATGATGCGCCGTCTGCCCCGCTAACATTATTGAATTAATCTGGTCTCGAGTCCAGGACAAGAAAAAAGAAAGTGACAACAGGAAAAAGCTTGGGGAAAAAGCATGGAGTACTAACCGTTTTATTGCCGCTGCCAAATTTGGGGAGCGAAAAAGGACTTCGTTTCTCTTGACGCGGACTTGACATAATGCCATCTGGATCCAACTGATCCTACACGCAAAAAATACGGTTGACGTCTCCATTAGAAGTTTAAAGCGTCTGAGACACGCTAGGGAAAGCGGGGGGTCATGGGTACCTGGTCACACTATACAACAACATTGTTTCCCAGGGGTACTCCCATGTAAAAAGGTCCGGGATGCTTTTCTGCAAAATTTGAATAAAACCCCTGAATTTAAACCCTATAGGAGCTGTGATCTACGATAATCCAACGTCTCTGATAATTCAACGAAACAAGGGATAACGTATCTTGATGACGTCATATCCATGATGACGTAAAAACTTACGTAATACCCGTGTTGTTTTTTCTTGCGTGATGTAGGGAGAATTTAAAGGAGCTCAGTCACGGTTTTTCGCCACGTTCAGAATTACAATTAAATTGAAGGAAACCTGAAAATAGTACTTTACTTAGATAGAAAGAGATATTCATAAAGCATATTCAAAGAGATATTCATAAAGCATAAAGTAACAAGGATGGTTAAGGATGGAGAAGATTGAAACGGACTTAAACGCCGAACGTGAGAATTTTCGGCTAAATTTTTAAAGATGCTCAAATCGTAACGTTTCTCCTTCAATTTAAATTGACACTTTTGCCTCAACCCCATTAACCCAGTGTATACAGTACATCTAAACAGTCTCTATTTTACCTTGTTCTTTTTGTGTGAACTCTTCCGGTCTGTCTGGTCTGCAGAGTCTTTGGCACTTGTTGAATCCTGACATGAACCAGTACAAAATAAAATTGACATTCCAATGCGTATACAGGAAATATATTTAAAAAACACCGTATGTTAAGCGAAGTATTAGAGCTTCTAGTTTCGGATTCCGGTTTTTCTGTCAAAATCGAAGGAAAAAACAACAACAACAACGACGACAAGGATTTAAACTTTTATTTCTGAGGAATTTGTTTTCCTGATAGCTTGAAGAACGCGAAGCGGTGGCGCAATGGAAACAAGGCCGTCACTTGAATACAGACCCCGATACCAACCAAATATTGTATGTTATTAACTGTACCATCCTCTCTTGTCACTGATCATTGCAAGAAAAATAGCACACTGCCTACGCCTAAGCCTAGCTCTACGGATTTTCGCCTGTTTACGTCTCACGAGCAGGGTCGTGAAGTAACAGCCAGATCCCGGTTGTTTGAAGGCTGGATGACACTATCCACCGTATAAATTTATCGCCATCCAGCGGATAAGTGTTAACAAAACTGACAAACCACGCTATCTGCTAGATAGTGGTGGTTTATCCGGTGAATAGCGTTATCCACCTTTCGAACTACCAGGGCCAAAAAGCTAGGCTACAAACTATTGCGTTTTGGAGTGACTTTTTACGTCACACATTCGTAAGTACCGGAAAAAGCGGAAATCGGAAATCCAATTCTGTTTAATTTTGAAACTTTTCCAACAACAACAGGAGCTTTTATGCATACTGAGATATATTTTTGTACACACACCCGTGACGTTATTGTCTAACAGCCTTCGTATCTCTTGGCTCATGGCTAACTTTTTAAAGAGCCTTCTCTTAGCTATCAGGCAGAAGTAAAACACGACAGTATTCAGAACCTTTATAATTCCTGAATGCTGAGGAAACTTACGTCGCGATCGATCCATCACATTTGAATTAGCGTAACCCGTTTGGGTGGTGTAGCTAAGTATGAATTGGAAACTGAGAGAAAGCATCGTCAAAGCGGTATGGAACAACAGCAAGATACAAACAAACATTACAAGAAACGTTATGTACCTTGTGTTTCTGTAAGATGATGTTCTTCTTGTGCAGTTTCGGACTTGGTGTGATCTCTGACAGGCCGTTCCTCTCCATTCCGATGTCTTCCTGCATGACGAAAGAACTTAACATTAGAATAAAGAACAACTAATGACAGGCTGTAGAAATCCTGAGGGACCCTAACAAAAGCGCGGCGAGTCCTTATATTGCACAGTGTCTGCCAAACTTACACAGTATGAGTGGTTACATAGGGCCTATTATAAATTGATAGGAATCCCTTGGCCCCTCGGAGCGCACGTCGTTTTCCTGTAGCATCACTGACCATCACTGCCGGAAATATTAAACCAAATTTGTCAACAAATCCATTTTATAGACGACATAATAATAGACCAACTGCAGCGCGGATGGCAACGAAAATGGCTTATACCAAACTTAACAGTTCGATACCTCATTCTTGCAGTTTTATCGACTCGCGGTTTCGCCTCTCGCCAGCTATCAACCGATAGAAACTTTGCATAAGCTCGCAGAAGAACGACAGGGGTGAGGAAGGTCAACTTTTATTTATACAAACATGCTAAAAATATACCCAAGGCATAACTTTGGATAGGAGAAGAAGGCAATGACAAATACACTTTGGATACAGAAAGAATTCAGCAGGCTTTACTGATTCAAATCCAACCTGAAATCAAGGTTGTCATCACCCAAAAGTGACTGGGACCGGCAAGCAGGTACATTTTGAATGTGAATGGACACATTGCGTTTCTCGCGTTGTTGTTGTTGAGAATCCGTCTACATTCTTAACGATATTCCTAATAAGGGCTAAAGAAGTGTTCGCATGTGTATAAACGTCTGCTGACCTCAGAGAACGGTCATTTGCATAGCTGCTGTGCAAATTCAACGAACTCTAAAAGAATTAATAAAACTGATCAATGGAGGTTTGCGCTTCTCTTTCGGATGAGCTGAGAATTGGTCAAAGTTGTAAATGTCAGCTGTGAAATAATGCATTTTTTAAAACTGATTTCTGAGATTTAAGATCTACAATATTTATTGAACGTTGAGAAATGAGCCGAGGCTGAGAGATTTAACTGACAACTGAGATTCGATCACCCCAGTCTTGGCCCTCTATGAAGAAGCCGTACAAGAGCTAAAGGGTATGACACGGAAATACGTGTTTTTTTTGTTTTTGTCTATCAACGAAATATTTCTCTATGACTCCACAAACACTTCAAAGCCAAACTGGGTTGATATAAAACAGGCGATGTAAATGAAGTTTTCCCCACCTAAGTTTTCCTCAAACACAAATCCAAAGTAGTCGGTGATTGTTGCGTTTAGAAATTTCGCGGGCGTTGTGCGAACGAAAAACATTTGATGCATTTCAAAGGTGAAAGCGCCGTTTTCAAATTTCTCCGAAGAAGTATACTAGTGTGGACGGGACCTGAGTGCTTGGTATTAAATCTGTGAGACCATATTTAATTCACCGTGGATGTAGATATTCTATACAACTGAATCTTATTTTTACTTTGTGTCTGTACTTGACTAATTATGGTGAAATTCGGACAAAATTCCAATTCATCCACAAATTAGATAACTTCTTTAAGACTTAAAAACTTCCTGTATTGTTTTAGACAAATCTCCAGGGACGTTTAGCACTTTCTAAACAAGCAAGCTTCAACTAAAGACCTGTCATTTACAAGGTTTCGTTGCGTAAGAAAGACAATTAGGGGAAAGCATTTGAAAAAGGGCCGTCGGCGGGGCAATCATTGAAGTGGAATAAAACAAACATTGCACTTTTTGTCCTCTTCTCACGCAGTTAACAAAAGACATCTTCCGCTTTTTGAAAGGTATAATTATGCTAATCGATAAAAGAACAGCATAGGTTTTCAGCGCGTTATCAGGTCTGTGTGTACCTGAAGAAATGACACGAGAGTCGAAGTAGTCTGAAGAGAGTAGAGACAGATAAAGGTCAGATATGATTCCCTGCGGCAAACCATCAATCAATGGATTTTAAAACAGTTAGCGCCTGTAGTAATGGTTAAATGAAGTTTAATTGCAAATCATTCATTTTGAGCTGCCGAACAACAAGCACGCCCTCCTTCGATACGATCGGCTTTAACTTCTCTCTGTGTGACGACTGTATGCGATAAGATAATGCAAAGAACACAAGACCAACATTCTCCATCGAGGTCAAAATGTAGATTAGATACGCGAAACGTTTAAGGCTTATATTGTTCCACTCCTCCGAAAGGAAGAACTTTAACAAACAGTGGGAAGACGTTACAATAACGATAGTGTCCTGTTTACCGCAGTAAGTGTGAGCCGAACACGCACCGAGTTGATCCGAATAGCATTTGAAGGCAATGTGTTAGGAAACAGCAATATACATACCTCGAATTGCAAGACTGGATTGATTTATGCCACGATAGCTATTCTTAGTACAGCCGTGCATCTCTTAAGCGTGACGCTGCCATGTTGTTAGATATATGTTCACTTAGGGAATCGTTTAGCTGTACGAAAGAACTCTTACAGCAGCAAAGACCCTTCCTAAATGAACTCCGCTTCACCTAGTTCCCAGCTGCAGACTTTCCTTTGCCAGTGCGCGCGGTTAACTGGTCTGTTTTCGTCAACTTCAATCTAAACGGTTAATCCTAATCCTTTTGCGAGTCGTAACGTGAGCTCGCTTTGCCGGCACCACTCGACCTTTAATATCTTTAATAGTTCAAGGATAGTGAATGTACAAACCTAACTGTTTCTGCGGAGTCTCTCAGAAGACAAGCGGGCCGCCTTTTAAGTCCACAAGCTGCTAATGTATCTGTGATGCGCCATTTTGACCAAAGGAATGAGGACAAATGAAGAGGGTTTTGTGACGCAACTAGGGGCATGACACCGATACTTCAGGCCGAAGACAGCGGCATACCTTACGAATTTAGTCTACTGATGTCTTTTAAAAGGTCTAACAAGTCGTATTCGGGTTACATAATACTTTGTGAAGCCAAATTTCTAACCGGAGGCATGTTTGTTGAAGTGGTCTACAAAAGTGTATTTATTTTACACGCATGGATAAATAATATTGATCTAAAAATTGCTTTAACCTAAAATGACTTCTAGGAGGGCTTCTGATTGATTTAAAATGAGTTACGGCGATTAATGGATGTTACAGAATGGGGTTATAATATGTTTACAACATTGTCTTGTTGGTTCGAATTGATGTCAATGACATTTTTTATTGATTACATTGACACCCGACACAAAAGCAAATCTCGAAATACGTGTCAATATTTTACGAACTGATTCTTCACTTCGTTGGTCAAACAGTTTAACTAAATTTTTAAAAGTTGTTTAATTGAGAAAAACTTCGGATTTTGTTTTTCTTTAATTTTTTTTATAAACTTAGTACAAGACTTTTGTCTCATAGCACGTCGGTGTCAGAATAAATACGTCTTTTAAATGCAAGTATGAAAAGGGAAGTTATATTGGCCCAACTCAACTCGATGAATGGCTTGTGTTGCAATTAAAACGGCTGGTTTTGCAATCAGCTCTAGTTACTGGTTTCTCTGTCATTGTTAACCTATTTTCCACCTTCAGCATCTAAGACATAGATTAGTTCAAGCGGGTTAAAAATTACCTTTGGCCTCTACAGTGGATGCAAATCAGCTTGCCCGCTTTACACGAGAAACAACTAGGATATAGCCGATAATCTCATATCTGACTTACTTTTCGTCCTTTCGTCACCGCTTCAACGCCAGATGATTCGTCTCCCTCGCTGCTTTCTTCGGGGGCCGGATCCGACGAATTCCGACGAAAGCTGGGAATCTTAAGACGCGGTAAGGCGCGATGTTTTTCCGTCATTGCTCGTTGTTTCGCCTCCGCGAGCTCTATGCGAAAAGCCACTAGTTCGTGGTCACTCCATGCCCAGGTTAATCACCTATCTTTGCATTCCACAGCTGCTCGCTTGATAAATCAGAAGGACCTAACGAGAACCTCATTGACCATATGGAAAGTAACAATGTTCCTTTTCGTGCAATGCAGAATTTTTTAGCCTTTCGTCTTCCCCTTTCCCTAATTAACTCAGTTTTGCGATCGCCCACGTTCTTAAAATGTAGAGGTGATATTTTCCAAACCGGATACACTTTGATATTGTTCTCATGAATTCTGCCTCGCATGTCAACAATACAATTGAATATCATGTAAATGAGAATAGGGACCAATGAAAACAACTAGAAAGGCTATTAGCCTTTCTGTGTTTTACATTAAAAGCAGTCTTGCGTTAACTATAAGCTGTTCTTTGTCGTTGAAGAAGCACTGGCCGAAATAAATGAAACGATATTGCGCGGTAATCTAAGAGTTCCCTGAAAGAGTGGAACAGAAATATTAACGAATAGCCAGACCAACATTTTCCGAATTAATGAGGAAAAAAAACTTTTACAAATGGTCACGTACGATTTAATTCGTTATAGTTTGTTGGCAGGAGAAATATTATAGTTTGTTTCTAAATAAGATTGTAGGCAGGAGAAATAAAACATCGTGTTTGTTAGAAGAGAGTTTCTCCATAACTTTCGGATATATGTTTACTTTTATTAGTGTTCCATTTTCCTGCCAGGGTCCAAGAAACACGCGAAGCAAGTGCTGCCAATCTTGATGAAATTATTTTCTTTATTTTTCTTTTCTCTCTCTCTCCTTTTTTTTTAATTTTTTAATTTTAATTTTTTTCATTTTTCGATCAAACAGCCACAAAACCCATACCAAGATGAAGAATAACGCAATGCCCACACTTTTACTTAAAACCTTTGCCGTGGTTTTACACCAATTTCTGATTGGCTAATTTCTGACTTTGAATGATTTGAAATTTACATACTTAGAGGAAGTAAACCATCGGGGATGGTTTACCGAATAAATGATTGTCATTTTTGAGGGAAATGCTTGTCAGTCGCTAACAATTGTTTTCCGGCCAGTTTTTATTTAGCTTCGCTAGGTATCAAACGCCCCTTTTTCACTCAGACTTGAAGGGATTTAGTCTCCCACGCAGACGTTTTTAAGGCTCTAGAGTTTTCAAGTTCGTTGTTTGTAATCCATGTCAATCTTCTTCATCTTTCCGTTAATCATCCTTGTTACTTTATGGTTTATTATTATCTCTATAGCATTTTTGTATTGGCCAAAAGAACTCAAAATACCATGAGTGAGTTGCTTTAAAGAGGTCTATACTACTAAAAATGGGCGCCATAGACTTCTGCCAGAATAGCTTCCAAAGAACCTTTTGCATTTTAACATTTGAAAGGGCAGCCACATTAAGTGAAATGTTTACTCTTTTGTTTCGGCTGAGAGGATGGGGTCGAGGGGTGAAGTGTGGCCTCTGTATGAGAGACCTACCATTAGAAAAGTGATGGGGGGAGGGCAAAAAAAAAAAAAAAACAGAATTCATGGAAGGGAGGGTGGCTGAAAAAAAAAAAATTGTAAAGAAGAAGTGAAGAAAACAAAAATTACAGCAAAGTGAATTGCACTGTCGAGCTTACAAACTGTAGTCACCTGAAAGGCACCTTGACAGCCTCTTTATACTGCAGTTTTAATTTCCTGGTCCTCAGATGGAATCCCTATTCACTTGGTTTTCTCTACAATTAGGAAAACGGACATTTTTCCCTTTCAAGACTGATACATTATGTGCGCAGCAACGTCATCGTGGACACTGAGAGCCAAACATCCTTGCAGAAAAACCCTTACGGCTAACCATGGCTTAAAAGCGATAAAAAAAAAAAAATGTGTTTTAAACAGCCATCCTGCTTGATTCGTTTGCAATTAAGCAAGCACATACCATGTTTTGATAGCCTCGACATATGGGAGTGATTTCACAACTGACATGTATAAATGATAATTGTGGACACAGATGTGCACACCCATTGCGAACCGTAACACTTTCCCTATATGGCCGCTTAGATCAACGTTGGACAAACGTCGTAATTAAAGACAATCATGGAGGTGTTAGCACAACTGATGCGTTTAGTTAGGGCTGTTTCAATCTATTTTAGGTTTTTGACAAAGATAACGACGCATTTTATTATAAGGGGAATGGATAAATAAAATTATTATTTCCCGAAATATCAAACAAAAAATGCAATGCAGCCCCATCAGTTAGGCAATAACACTTAAATGTGTCTGATACTTAGTTATGTTGCCCCCGGAGTATAATTTTGACAGTAAAGCAAAACGACTGTGTGAAAGATAGGAAATATTTGCTTGAAGCCTGTTCCAGGCAATCAGATAGTGGCGTGTGTCAAGATTAAGATTGCAACAGTAGAATATCCCCCCCTCCCCCCCCCCCCCCNCATTTCACATCAAATAAAGATTGCAATGCGGGGCCATTTTAGGCAATAGCACTATATATCAACCATTTTAACTTGGATGTGTCTGTTTAATTTGGATGTGTCCCCATAACAATAATAAAAATTCGTGCAGGGGACTTGACCTCGAAAAAAATTCCTATAAAGGCAGTGGACGAGAAAAAAAAAAAAATCCTGCAAGCTCAAAAAGTTCCCCTATCATGCACTTTTCTAATGGTTTGTCCCTAATTGTGCGGTTTTAACTGCGTCCCGAATCGAACTGTCTACGTTCAAGGGCTCGGAGAGACATCATGTAAAGTGATGGATCTTTAATCCTCGTTAAATGAATTCTTAATTATATTATTATCATTAAGGACTGACCGATATTTTTGTATTGTATTCTTTGAAAAGATAGAATGTTTATATACTGCATCAGCCTCAGCTCTTTAATTTTCAAATATTACACCGCGTGAGCTATAAAACAAATGATCGAATGATAAGTGGATGGCCACTTAGTCAGAGCTTTAAATTCTGGGATAATCTTGACAGCTAAATAATCATAAAAGTCTGTTCAATTTAAATGCTTCGAATAACGTATGGATTTTAATATAGCCAAACATGTTCATTGTTTTACCCCAAGCCAGCTAGCTAGCTTTACGTTAACTCAGTGCGCCTGACCGAAAGCATTATTTAGTATTTCTCTTTTTCCTGAATAAAACTGTTGTTTTTATTGCTGTTGTTGTTGTTATACTGTCTCCTTGGTGATGGCGATGTGATTGCGGTGGTTGTCTTACAAACCAAATTATTAATAACCCGGGAAAAAAAATGTGAAATGATCATTTTCCATGCATGTCTATTTTTACGTAAGATCATGCTGTAAGGCAATTGTCAGCATGGGAAAGATTTGAAAGCAGTCAAACAAAATAACTTCTGTCTTGTTCCCATTTTTTTCCATTCGGACGGGTACAGCACAGAGTCTAGGACCAATTTTGTGCGACTTCTAGTTTTGTGGTTTTCCACGATCCGCAAAAATTTTCTCCACTGGAGAAATTATAC